CCTCGCGAAGTTGCCGCACGCTGGCCAGGTCTATTGCAATGGATGCAAGAATGAGGCAGGAGAACATTGCAGAGGAAAAGGAGGTCTGGCCTTTCTGGTCCCGACATCTACGCGCTCCACCACATCTGTATCTCTACAGCCGATTATACATGGACGCGCAGCAGCCTTGCACATCGCCAGCCACTCGACAGGCTTCGAAACGGTGCTCTTGCATGTACACCACTTCGACCTCAATGCGACGGGCATGGACAAAGTCAAGAAAGCGTGGCAGGTTTCCAGAGCACGGGCTGCAACCCTACTGCAACAACATTTTTTTCTTGCGATGGGCGACTTCATCACGAGCGCCACCCCGTCTTTCAACTTCCGCGACCCTGCGGCTCGCGGGCGTCCTATGCCTCCAGATGGTCAATACCAACGCGAGCAAGCACGTTGGCGGCAGCCCTTCACGACGCTCACGGAGATCACGCACGACTCTCCCGCCCACTTTTCGGCCAACACTCTGGCTGCGACCGCCGCCGACCGCATTTTCGTTTCGCTCACGGGCATCGACCTCCTCAATGTAGACGCCAACCTGCAGATGCACAAGGACGGTGCGGCTCTGTCAGATCAAGGACTCAGTGATCATGCCATTCTTCACCTCTCTCGCAGCAACATCTCGGCATCGCGCATCGACGAGCAGGCAATCGACCCCATCATCTTCTACGACCCCTCCTACCAGCTCCACTTCGACCTCCTGAAGAACTACATCGCCAAGGCCAACCTCGCGCCGACAGCGGCGCGGCATCAGCACGAGCTCATCATCAAAGAAGCAGCCATACTCACTCGCAACCTCCAGCAGCGCGCCTCGCTTCAAGACCTCAGCCGTTGGGCCAAGCATGGGGGGCCCACCGCATTGCGTTCAATAGCCAGGACGATTTGGAGGAGGGACAAGGACACCGCCGCAATACTCATGGCTACGACGGAGTTAGGCAGCTACCACTTGCACATCACCGATGACGGACCCGAGCTCACGGACAGAGACGAGCTCGTCAAGACCATGGACATCGCAGTCACCGCCGACTACGAGAGGCGCATCGCCATTGCCACCAAGCGCCAGCAGGACGGGGCCGAAGGACTCCCCGACCAGGCGGCCAGCCGGCGCGCCGCCATGCAGCTCGCCCGGCGCGCCCAGGCCTCGAACCCGTTCCGACGTCGACTCGTACTTTCAGGACTCAGGATTCCAAAAGAGGCTCCAGGCACCACCTCCCGCTCCCTAGTCAAATCACCAGAGGGGATTCTTGAAGGCCCTCAGAAGTTCTGGCAGCCCATCTTCTCGCCCAAGATCGCGGGCCCTCACGCGGTCCAGCAGCACCTCGAAAAGCACCTCCCCAGCTTCGACCGCGCGGACCTCAGGGCCCCTGCTCTTGAGGACTTCTAGCGAGCCCTCCGCAAGGTTCGTCACACAGCGCCAGGGCCCGATCAGATACCCTATGCAGCATGGGCCACTAGTCCAGGCCCTTCCCAGATCCTGTATGAGCTGATGATGCAGATGTTCGAAACAGGCATCGCTCCGCATCGTTTCAAAGACTCGAGCTTCGCGTTTCTCCCCGAGGGCGATGACCCCCATGATCAATTCGCAGCGTATCGCTCTCCAGGGGCCACGCGCCCACTTTCCTTAAAGAACTGCGATGCCAAGCTGATCGCGCACGTCGTCAACATGGGTCTGGTCGATATGGTTCGCGAGCGCACAGAGGACACGCAGCAAAGCAGTGTGAAAGGCAGAAATTTCGGACAGCACATCCAGACGCTAGACTCAGAAGCACGTAGTGTAGGTCATTCCCCAGAGGCCTCTGATGACTTCCCGATCCGAATCAGCTTTGACATCAAAGCTGCATCCCCATCCTAAGGATGGAAATTTCTATTTGCAGCCCTCGTAGCCCATGGAGTTCCCCCAGGCTACCTCAATGCAATCTCGGCCCTTTACGACGTTCCTGGCGCGCGGGCCCGAGTCGGCGGCCAGTTGCTTTACATGTTTGAAATCGGTTCTGGCGTTCTCCAGGGATGTCCATTGTCAGGATCGATATGGGCTCTCGCATTTGACGCCCCTATCCGCCATTTACTTGGCATTTTAAGAACCCTCCCTGGACCCAACAAGCTCGGAGCCTGCGCAGATGATCTGGGGCTTGTCCTCGCTCGCCTGCCCCCCCCCCCCCCTTTCGGGCCATCGGAAACCTCGCAGGACTCGAGCTTCAGATCCAGAAGACAGCGATTAAACTTGTGCCCCTGTGAGCACCCCTTTCGCCCGATTTTCAGAGTCTCACGCAGCGTCTTCTCAATTCCCTCACCCCCGAATGGCAGCGCGCGCAGATAGCAGGATATGCACGCGACTTAGGGGTTCACATAGGCCCCGACGCCGCGTTATATTTCCAATGGGAAGCAGCGCTCGATTAATACTGGCCGCGCGTTGTACAGCTCGCCGCCAGTGCTCCAGGCACAGCAGTCGCAATCAAACTTTATAGTACATGTGTTATAACCGTTCTCTCTTATCTCACCCAGTACTTTCCGCTCCCTGCCACGTTCTTCCGCCACGAACGTGGCACGTTGCACAAGATCCTGAGAGCACCCCCCAACTCCTGGCGCCTCGTCGACCTCCTCGGCACTCGTTCGCGGTCGCACTCGTCCTCCCCCTCAGCTTTAATGACGCTGTCGCTAGCCTCAGCCTGGCGGGCGGCAACGGCAATGCTGCAGCACTGGCCGCCTCTCTTTCAAGCCCTTCAGCGTTCGCACGACCAGCTGAATCCAGAGCTTTCCCTGGCGGACCTGGCCCAGGCCCGCGTTCGGGCCATTGTCTATCCTGTGTTTTGGAAGAGCGACGGAATAGTAGAATATTGGCGCGCCCTCGGCGATGCGACGCCACCGTATAGAGTCCCGCTGTCCATCTGGCAGCAAGCCAAGCGAGCAGCAGAAGCCGAGCTGTCGTCTGCCGCTCAGGAACCGCGGAAGGCCAGGGTTCAGCGGACCCTCACCTCTGTCCTCCACGCCTCACGAGCGCCGGCAGACGCTCGCCACAGTTCTGCCCAAGAAGGCCCCAGCGATCCGCTGGGCAGTTTACAAAACGCTTGCAGGAGCATGGTGGACAAGCCACCGCTTCCCCTTCGGCCCGCGCAGAAACTGCTTGCTCGGATGCGACGGCTGCCCTTGCCGTCTCGGCCATTACCTCTCCTGTCCCCGCCTCCTGCACTTCCTTGCCCTGCACCGTGCATTCCTCTCGCCCGACCCCCTCGCCCGCATCGGCCTAGGGACAATTTGGGCAGCACGACATCCCAGAGCACTCGCTCGTCGAGGCCGTTCGTCGGACCGCCCTTTCATCCCACTTGTACAACAAGCTTCGAGCTTGCGAACTCGCCGCGCATGGCGCCGCGCTAAAGTACACTACTGGCACAGAGTGCTTCGCCACTGCGCTGCACGCCTTGAGGCCATAGACACCTGAGGGACTCTGGGAAGGTACGGTCGCTCCTCCTCTGCCTCCTGCTCCTGCTCCTCCTCCTCCTCCTCCACCTCCACCTCCTCCTCCCCCTCATAGTATTCCTCATCCTCCTCCCTCGTCTTCCTCTTCCTCCTCCTCCGCCTCCTCCTCCGCTCTCCCCTCTTCCTCCACCTCCTCGCCCCGCCCTCCCCCTACGCCTCCTCCTCCTCCTCCTCATCCTCCTCCTCCTCCTCCTCCTCCTAATCCTCCTCCTCCCCCTCCTCCCCCTCCTCGACTTCCACCTCCTCCTCCTCCCTCTCCTCTCCTCCTCTTTCTTCTCCTGTTCCTCCTCGGACTCCTCCATCTCCCCCTCCTCCTCTCCTCCTCCTCCTCTCCTCCTCCTCCTCCTCCTCCTCCTCACATCATCATCATCATCTCACATCATCATCATCATCATATCATCATCATCATCATCATCATCATCATCATCAATAATCACCAGCCTCATCATCTTCATCAGCACCATCTTCAGCATCAGCATCCTCATCCTTCGCCTCCTCCTCCTCCTTTTTCTCCTTTCTCTCCTCCTTCTCCTCCTGTTCCCCCTCCTCCTCCTCTCCTCCTCTCCTCCTCCTCTTCCTCCTCAGTCCTCCTCGTTCTCCTTCTCCGTTCTCTGCTCCTCCTGCCCCTCCTCCGTTTTCCTCCGCCATCCACCACGTCCGTCTCCTCCCTTCTCTCATCCTCCTCCTCCTCCTCCTCCTCCTCCTCCTTCTCCTCTTCCTCCCCCGTCTCCTCCTCCTCCTTCTCCTCCTTCTCCTCTTTCTCCTCCTCAACCCCCTCTCAAGCCGTGTGGGCACGAGCACCAATTCCTTGCGTCCTCGGACGCAGGGCAGGGTAATTGCCCGTCCATACTTCCTCGCCCCATCCTCCTGCTCCTCCTCCTTCTCCTCCTTTTCTTCCTCGTTCTCCGCCTCCTCTCCTCTTCCGCCTCCTCCTCCTCCTGCTGCTCCTCTTCCTTCTCGCCACCTCCTTCTCCTCCCCCTCCTTTTCCTGCTCCTCCTCCTCTCCTCTTCCTCCTCCTTTCCCTCCTCCTCCTCCCTCCTCCTCCTCCTCCTCCTTCCTCCTCCCTCATCATCATTCATCATCAGCACATCATCATCATCATCATCTGCTCCTCCTCCTCGTTTTCCTCCTCCTCCTCCCCCTCCTCCTCCTCCTCCTCCTCTCCTCCTCATCATCATCATCTCGTCATCATCATCAATCATCATCATCATCTCATCATCATCATCATCATCAATCCATCTTATCCTCCTCCTCCTCCTCCTCCTCCTCCTCCTCCTCCTCCTCTTTCTCCTCCCTGTCCTCCTCCTCCTCCTCCTCCTCCTCTTCCTCCTCCTCCTCCATCATGTCCCCCTTCTCCTCCTCCTCCTCCTCCTCTTCATCCTCCTCCTCCTTCTCCTCCTCTCTTTCCTTACTTTCGAGGCGCATTCGTGTTCTTGCTGTCTCTTCCGCCCCCCACCCCAAGAACCTGCGCCCCGCTCCCTCCACTCAAGAGGAGGAGCGGTACACCGAGCTGGAGGGGCTTGCCGAGGAGTCCATGGCCGAGGCCTCCCGCGAGGACCCTTGTGCCGCGGGCGGGCGAAGGGCCATCGCGGGACGAGGGGCGGAGGGGGGAGGAGGGAAGGAGGTGGGGGAGCCCCGGGGCGGGGGGGAGGAGAAGGGAAGGAGGTGCCTCGAGTCATGAAAATATCACCACTGGAGGAGTTCTGCTAGATTCGGCCCCTGTGGCCCTCGCCGGGCTTCGGGACCGATCAAACAAGGACGCAGGACGAGAAGCGAGTCCCGGGTTACGGGTCGAGACCTCTGGGAGTCGACGCTGTGAAAGAACATGACGTCGGGGGTACAGGAGAGATGGAGGGGACAGTGGAGAGAGGATGGGACGGGTAAGAAGGAGGGCGCGGGACAGGGCGGGGAGGAGGCAGAGGAGTAGCAGGAAAAGGGGAGGAGGAGAAGGAGGAGGAGGAGAAGGAGAGGAGGAGAAGGAGGTGGAGGAAGGAGCAGGAGAAAACTGCAGGAGGAGGAGGAGGAGGAGGAGGAGGATCAGGAGGAGAGGAGGAGGGGAGTTCAAGGAATCTGGGGCGCCGAATCCGCATCGCCTCAGTTCAAGACTTCAAAACTGAACCTGGGTAGCAGCAGGTTTGTGTTGCGCATCCCTCTGCGGCCAGCGCTGCTGCGTCCATGATGGCACGGGCAGGGTAAGGATATGTTGTTCCTCCTTATCACTCCTCGTGACCCTTCTGCTCTCCAAGCGAGGGGCAGAAGTTCAACCACTGATGGCTGAGCCCCCTTGGAGGCCGATGCGAAGTACGCGAGATGAAGAGTACGCCAGCGATATACCGTTCCTCCTTATCACTCCTCGTGACTCTCCTGCTGTCCAAGCGAAGGGTAAACGTCCAGCCGCTGATGGCTGACCCCCCCCCTTGGAGGCCGATGCGAAGTACGCCGAGCTGGAGAGGCTGGCAGAGGAGTCCGTGGCAGAGGCCGTTCGCGAGGCAGGGCCTCCTCCATACTCCACCGGGTAATTCCTCCTCCTTCTCTTCCTCCTTCTCCTCCTCCTCCGCCTTCCTCCTGCCTCCCCCATTTCCTCCTTCTCCCCTCCCCATCCTTACCCCCATCCCTATCCCCTATCCCCCTCCTTCTCCTCCTCCTCCTCTTCCTCCTCCTCCTCCTCCTCTTCCTCCTCCTCCTCCACCTCCTCCCCCACCTGGTTCCTGCCAACTGTCGGCCTGAGGGTTCGTCGAACGTGGCCTCCTCCCCCGTCTCCTCCCCTCCTCCTCCTTCTCTTCCTCCTCCTGCTGATGAGACTCGCTCCTCCCCGCCCTCCCGCCCTCCTTCCCTTGCCCCTCATCTTGTCCCGGCTTCCTCATTCATGCCCCATTCCCCCCTCAAGTCTCCTCCATTCCCGCCTCCACACCACTCCCCCCTCCCCTTTTGCCCCCCCATCGTCATCTGACTCCCCCCCCCCTCCCACACCCGGACGCAAGGCGGAGGAGAAGTTAAGGGCTCTGGAGGCTGAGTTGCAGCAGGCCCGGGACGAGGTGGCGCAGGAGCGCGGGCCGAAGCACATCGGCTCCGCAGCCACTTTGGGCTCACGAGGGAGCTCTTGTTTCGGGGCCGCTCCTCGGATCCATGTCGGGGGACCTGCTCGTGGCCGGGGCTCGCCGTGGACAGGGAAACCCGTCCACGCGTTCCCCACTCAGCACCCCCCTCTGGTACTTCGCACGAGGGCTCCACTGTCATGGCGCCTTCGGAGTGCCGGCGCCGCTCGTCCCCTGTCTCTCTGCTCGGGTGAGGGCGCCTCTGCTCCAGTTGGGCGAGAGTTCCAGCAAGGGCCTGGCCTTCGAGGGGCCGACAGCTCTGGCATCCTTTCCCAGGCGAAGGGCGGGCGGAGGGCGGGCGGCAGAAGGCCAGCGGGCTCATGCGGAAGCGCAAGACGCTCCGGAGATGTCAACTTGTCTGGTTTCAGTGTTTCCGGAACGGGCCGGTTGCCAGCATCGCCCTTGCCTGAGTTGACCGCCGCCCCTCGACGCCGCCGCGCGGGGCCTTGCACGCACCCGGTTGGCCGACCAGAGGGAGTGCCTCCACTTCCGCCGAGGTGTCGAACAGCATGGACCATTCTGAAAACGTGCGCTCGAGCTGTCAATGCTCACATCCCCTCACACCTTCTTCTGTTTGATTCCAGGACAGCGCAAGTTTGAGGGATGCAGTCGGGGCAACGATGAGGGGATAGGTGCTTGTATGCACGGGGGATGCATCGACCCCCAAACGCCCGCCGATCGCCGATGGGGGTCTGATAGCACCACCCCTCCCACGCACGTGGGGGTTCACTATCGGGAGCCTATCGCCGATCGATCGGCGATGTATCGCCGATTCCCGAACATTCGTTCCCCTGCAAAGCGGCTCGGAGGTCCGGAGCCCGCCCGAACCGCACACGGGGGGCACAGGGCAGAGGCGACAGGTGGTGCAGGCTTGCATAGGTGCCTGCGAAGGGCAAT